TGCTTGCCATATGTCATAAACTAGCTGTGTATATTTTGGAGACTGTATGCATTTTCCTAAAAGTAAATAAAAATTGTTAATAACATATTTAAATGAAAGTATTAAAATAGTAAAAAATACTTGGAATTTATCTCACATGCTCATCTTCACATTCAAGGAAACTTTCCTTCATATCAGCCATGCCTTATTGTAGTAATCTTTAATCAATTTCTTTATCGTTCAGACGATTGTGGGTTTCAAAAAGTACTGTATATAAGTTATTAATAAAATAGTTATCAACTTAATGTTAATAATATTGCTATTCAAATGAATAAATAAATAAAGTAAACAATTTATTAACACCTAACTTGTTTTGCAAACAAATAATTGGCACTTTGTCTGCTATATTTAGAGGTGTGGGTAAACATTCATTAGGTCGTCTTGTATGTTTTCGCAGGGTCGACTCACATAAAGTGGCTTGAACACCATCAACAAGGTTGGAGAATTGCTGATCGACAGTTGGGATATTTTGTATAGAGTGATATGTAGGTGGAGTCTCGATGGTAGAAGACTCAGAGTATATGTTCTTTGTTGCTGGATGGTTTATGGGTGGAGGCTCGACCACTTGGTATTTTTTAAATCGAAGGTGTACTGATGGAGTGTTAGATGATTAAGATTTGGGAATAATGCCCTCTATATAGATGTAAATCCATATCTAACTTTGGATTTGTTAGAAGCCTTTCGTTTAAGCATTATAACTATAAATATACCAATATAGTCAACAACATATTTAAGCAGGAACAACATAATTCAGCAACATATATCAAGAATATATGAATACATTGATATCTAAAAACAAAAATATAACATATTGTATTATATCTCAAGCAAAGTGACAAGTAGTAAAGTTAAATACACATAAATTAACCACTATTCATAATCAATAATTTCATGTTAATAATCTTCATTTTCCTCTTTATCTTCATATGATGTACATGTAATTTAGTTTAGCAAATATGTTTAAAGAAATAAGATAGCTTGATTATTGCATTTCAAATTGAAATAGGCAACAAGCCATGAAAGACAATTGGAAACAGCCATTGCATAAAAATAGGATAATCATAACTTTTCATCACATGAAACTTGCCTTCATCAATGTTAGAACACTAAGCTATGTTTGACGCAAACCCAGCTAGAAATCTTAATTATTTCACCTAAGCACACACTGCCTTTCGAGCCTCCTTGCTTAAAGTGTACGATACTTTGGGCTTGAATGTTCTCCTATTAATTTCGACCAATTCTAATTCCTTTCATCTACAAAGGAGTGCTATATCCAATCTAGTATTTATGTTTTCTTTTATTTTGCCTTGACATCCCACCCCACGAGTCATTTGTCCCGCTCCGTAAGTTGCCTAACCCGATACACGACCAATATCAATTATAATGCATTTGGTGATCCTAAGCTGATTGTTTAGGTGTTTAGGCAAAGTATAAAAACTAAAAATAAAATCACCTCATTTTCTTTCATCTCCTTGGCTCTCTATACTTGTCCCTCCTTTCTAACTCCTTTTTCGGCATCCTCTTCTCTCTTGACTCTAACTATCAGCCACTATGTTTCGTTGTCGACCGCCACTTGTCAATGTCATTTTCACCAGAAAAAATTCATTTTTCTTCTCTTGATCTTTTTCTTATCAAATTGGATTTCTCAAAAAATTTATCAAATAGCTTAGATCAAAACTCAAAATCGAAAATTTATCCAAATTCTCCTTTCAGCCTTTTTTATAATCTTATTGCCTTTGATTTTATTTAAAAAGAAAAAAAAAAAAAACTCTCCATTTTTTCACGAAAAATCATTTTAAATCGAAACCTAAAAGTTGCCACTATTGCCTATGACCATCAAATTCCTTTACCTTTTCCCTATGCTTTGACTGTTCGAAACTCGTCCTAGAAATCCCTAAACCCTACAAAAGATAAAAATCTAATGCCCTTTGTGTTGCTTCCCTTACGTGGGATGATGTAGTTGGTTTCGTTATATGTGATTTTTTTATGAATTTTATATTTATGTTTATGGGCGGTTTTTAGAGTATTTCAAAAAAAAAATTATGTTTTTATTTATATATTTATTTTTATAGATATGAGTTTTCGAATAAATTTATTAAAATTTCAATAAGGTTAGGCTTTAGGTGTATTATTATTTTAATATTTTTACTTTTTACTTTTTATTTTTCCATATGGTTGGACTTTGTCATGAGTTTTTTTCATGAATTTTATTATTTTATTTTAACTTGCAAAATTTGAATGGCACATATCAAACTTCCCATAATCGATGATTCGAGGGAAATTTGGGTTACTCGTTACTAATGGGGTATGAAGACAAATACACGAAGGTATTATTTGGTGAATATCGAAATAGAAATGAATAGGAGTAACGTAATCAAATATGGCGATGAAAAGTTTCATACCCACCCCAATAGTGACACAATGTCATCCCAATAGTGATATGTTGTCATCCCTATTTGTGATTATAATTTAAAAAAAGCTAATAAATAAGAGCGTAATTTATTTGTTTAAACTAGAAGAGATCGAGCTTTTAGAGATGAGAAATTATTTTTAAAAAGGTAAATTTTTGTCAAAATTTTCTTTTTTTTCGAAATATTACTGATATAATTTTTTGTTACAAATTTGAAGAAATTAAAATTTTTATGTCGGAAATGAAAATTTCCTCTAAAAATAAAATAACTTTTGTGTATTTTCAGTTTTGATTTTTCCTAATGATTTGAGTTTTCGTGGTGAAGAAATGGAATAAAACAAATCCGAAAAGAAAAAGAAATTTGAGGGATACAGGTTTTCCTTCATATCTAAGATCAGTTTCCAGTTTTCGAACGTAATTTAAGGAGTTGGTTCACTGTCTTTGGATATTCATCTACATATTCTTCAAAGGAAAAAAAATGAACAAAAGTCAATGAAGGCATTCCACAGGAGTTTGCTTTAAATTTATCCAGAGGTTTTTTTAGTCAAAATCAAACCTTTCTCATGCAATAGACTAAGTCATGCCTGATATGATATGGTTTTAATTAATTTAAAAATACAACCATTTTCAAGAATAATTGAAGTCAAGAATTTAATAAAGTCAAATGAAAATAATGTTGCACCAGACAGAGCAGAAATTGCCTGAAAGAATAGGGACATAATTGTAATATGTGAAATTAATTTCCTCAAATAGCAAGTAGAAAGTCACATTTAGAATTTTCAGATTAAGACTTTTATTAAAGCCTATCTTCAGGTCTTTCTTTGGCCAAAACAAAAAAGGTTTATCTTCAAGTTATATTTATTCCCAGCTACATCCATACGCGGTTTTCAACTCAATATGTCAAAATTTATCTTTTTTAACTCCCTTTTTTTTTACTTATTATTTATTTACGTATTTATGTTTTGTCTTATACATGAAAATTTCAAATTTGGTTCACAATAGTAAATTTATTTTTAAAAGAGAAGGATTTTGTGCATTGGTTCCAAAATTAAGTACATATAAATTATTAATAATGATATAAAAGATTTGTGAACATAGTTTTAGTATTTTACTGTCACATATATATTAATGTTAAAAAAATATAATCTTAAAATTTTTTTTGAAAAAAAAAAATTCATTTTATTTTTAATTTTACTAATATTTTTACTTTCTTTTTTCTTGTAGAACAAAAAATATTTTTCAATATTAACAAGTACTCGTAGTTAATTTTTGTTCCCGGAATTATGTCCAATCTAGACCGCCAGTAATTGTTGAATTTTATTTTTGCCAAAATATATAGTAAAACAAAAGGAAATCTACATGAAAGTCGGAGATTTTATGTTGTAGGCTCAAACTTTTACCTTAAAAACAAGAAATGTAGAAATGGTTGAAAATAATAGCAAGCACATCGTCCAAGCAATGGGACTTTCATGGGAACAACCCACCTCCTCATGAAAATATTAATACGGGGGACTTTGTCTCTGTCTTATGAGAATTTTCTCCTTTGGCTTATCCACGATAAGATAAAAATATTCCAATCACCTTTCTCTCTTGAACTTTTTCAACTTAATTTGATAATTTATATTTTAAACATTAAACTACTTTTTTTTGTTATATATATATATATATATATATATATAAGTATGTTTGAAAACCTTTTCATTTAAAGTGTTTAGATTTTTTTTTCATGTTTCAATTAATAATATATTTAAAATAAAATGAAATCATAATATTTATGAGATAAAAAGAAATAAATTAAATGGGAAATTTTTTTTTGAAATTTCTAATTTATCCTTGAATTTCCGTACCCTTATACTTATTCAATTTAAGTGAATATTACACGTTTCAACTTACAATCTACTAAATATTATTTTTAATATCAATTCAACTGTTTCAAAAAATAGTCAACATTAAATGAAAAATAAATGGACATATAGCAAACATTTTAACTTCGCTTGTAACAATAATCCTAAACCGAATGAGTGAATCGGTTTTTCCACATTGATTGCTTCACTACCGAGATTAACAATTATATGACCTTTTCTCATATTTGTCAAATTCTTAAGTTTGAGAATTTTAAATTGATTTCGATTTGTAAGATTGTGCAAGAAGTAAAAGAAACTATGGCATGAAATAAAACATCATTTTATTGTGTGAGAATGCTTTGGGTGTGTTCCCATGGAGCTTTTACCCTTTCCATGCCATACGGAATCCCGTAGAATGTAGATTTTTCAATGACAATTTAGGCCTAATCGTCATCTTATTGGAATAAATTGGTTTTTCAGGATGGCAAAGGTCAATAAATTACTATCCTCTTTGAAAGAGAGAAATTTTTTTTTTAAAGTTATTTATATGTGATGATCGAGAAAGCTAAGAAAAGAGTCACTAAATTCGATTCTATTCACATGCTTTCACTACGTAAAACCCAATGGGAAAACTCTTTTCATTTACCAATTTGATCAGGTTATAAAAGTCAGGCAATTTTAGTTTGAGTGCGTCAAATGCCCCCAATGCCATCATTGCTTATGGTGAAGATTTTCCCAAGGAAGTGACGACATATAGATCAACATGTTATATTGACTGCCATCCCCTTTCCAAACTCATTCCGCGTTTGAAGAAAATTCAATTCCAATGCATTTTTGCGGCTCCAAGCATCCCCTCAGGTTATGTAAATCTATAAATAGGGGAGCTCTTCACAAACTCTGCACAAAACCATCAGTTTCGAAATCATCAGTTTCAAAAATATGAAATCTCTTCACTTTTCAATGTCTTCATCATTTCTTTATGTTGCTCTCTTCTTATTGTTATGGGCAGCTTCAGCTCAGGCTGATGAGACTTTTCTTGATTGCCTTTCTCTTCAATCCAACGACTCCTCTTCCATTTCTAAAGTTGTCTTCACACAAAATAATTCTTCCTATTCTTCTGTTTTGAACGCTACCGTTCGAAATTTTAGATTCACTACACCATCTACCCCTAAACCTTTGGTCATTGTAACACCGCTCCATGCTTCCCATATTCAAGCAACAATTTATTGTTCAAGAAAACATGGGCTCCAAATTAGAACTCGAAGCGGTGGCCATGATTTTGAAGGTCTTTCTTATGTATCTGAAGTGCCGTTTGTTATCGTTGATATGGTTAATCTACGATCAGTTGACATTGATGTAGAAAACAAAGTTGCATGGGTTCAATCAGGTGCGGTTCTAGGAGAACTGTATTACAACATTGCTAATAAAAGCAACACTCTTGCCTTTCCAGCTGGTCTTTGCCCCACTGTTGGAATTGGAGGGTACTTGAGCGGAGGAGGTTACGGCTTATTATTCCGCAAATACGGTCTTGCAATAGATAATGTAATTGATGCACAACTTGTTGATGTTAACGGGAGAGTTCTTGACAGGAAATCCATGGGAGAAGATCTGTTTTGGGCCATTCGAGGAGGTGGTGGGGGTAGCTTTGGAATTGTGGTTGCATGGAAAGTACAGTTGGTTTCGGTTCCATCAATTGTGACTGTATTCACAATCAACAAGACCTTGGAACAAAATGCGACCAAGCTTGTTCATCGTTGGCAATCCGTTGCACCCAAGCTTCCAGAAGAATTTTACTCCGGAATTACACTAACAAGGGTGAATTCTAGTGAAGATGGGAAAAGAACAATTCTAGCTTCCTTTCATGCCTCGTTTCTTGGTGGGATTGATGAGCTGGTTCCATTGATGCAAGAGAGATTTCCTGAGCTGGGACTAGTGAGAGAAGATTGCATTGAAATGAGTTGGATTGAATCTATTCTCTCCATGGGCAACCTTCCAAATGAAACCTTGAATATTTTACTTGACAGGACATACCAAAGTCCACTTCTTAGTCCTTCCTTCAAATCAAAATCTGATTATGTAAGGAGACCCATTCCTGAAATTGGATTTCAGGGGATGTGGTCAAGACTTTTTGAAGAAGAAGGAGCATCTGCTAGTATAAGTTTTATTGCTTACGGAGGCATAATGGATGAAATTCCATCGACTGCTACTCCATTCCCACATAGAGCTGGCAACTTATACAAAATCGTATACAACGCAGGATGGCAAGAAGAAGAGAATATAATATCTGAAAGGTATATAAGCTGGATTCGGAGACTTTATAGTTACATGGGTTCCTTTGTTTCAAAATCTCCAAGGCAAGCCTATATCAATTATAGGGATCTTGACATCGGAATGAATAATGAAGGAAACACAAGTTTCGCTCAAGCAAGCATATGGGGTCGTAAGTATTTCACGAACAACTTTGACAGATTAGTTCGTGTGAAGACCAATGTTGATCCACAAAACTTCTTCAGGCATGAGCAAAGTATTCCTCCTTTTTTCTATTAATTGAAAAAAAAAATCATAATAACCTTTGGAAGTTAAACCTTTTATAAAAATATTTAATTGGAAAATGTGTCAAAAAAATAAAGAATTTTTTAGGTTTTTTTTATAGGCATTTTGGCATGATTCTTTGTATGACTATTTAGATAAATGTATCATTAATTACCTTTGCTTTGTAATTAGTTGTAGATCATATGTATTTATTGAATTTTTCTCCTAAAGTTTGTATGCAAATTAATAATATAATGTGTAATATAAAAAGGAATATTTTCTTTTTGGTACGTAAGAAGAATTACATTGGATTTTTTTATAATAACAAAAAAAAAATCTTTGAATTTTAGGCTATACAATAAGAGGTAAGGTGTAATATTACTCTTCCTTCCCTCCCAGAATTAGAACTAGCTTCTGGTATCTATAGTCACATCTGTCCTAAATTGAAACAGACATTTTCAAGAGAAATTGAAGTCAAGAATTTAATTAATTAAATCTTCTTATTTAGAAAAAATCACGTGACATTAATGTTGGAGCAGATTTAGCGTGAAAGAATTAGGAAATGATTATATTTGTTGACTTATATTTGGCCAAATAGTAAGTAGATAAATCGCCTTTCAATCTTTGATTTTGAGCTTTTGATTTTATCAACATGTTCTTGACCGACTTCACCCGTAGGTATAGGCGGCCTTTTCTTTACGGTTTAATAAGCCAAATTTCATATGTCTTTTTAATTTATATTATTAACCAGCTACTACTCATAAACAATAAGTAACTGCGATTTTTTTGTAGCATTTAATTTCTCTAATCATTAACAAGTTGTTAATTACTAACTAGTAAGGCCTAATGTTGATTTGACTGAATTTGATCATAAATTATATTTGAATTACCATTTTTTTAGATTAAGACTTCTTTTGGACAAAGGAAAAAGATTCAGTGAGCCACTGTATTAGATTATTGATCATGATACCCCAATATTTCATTTTTTTTCTTAGACTTTTTTGTTTTTTATTTTAATTTACTTGAAAATCATTTATTTTTATATTTTATATTGTCATATTGATTTTCTATCTGATGGGACTCGATCGTTAGATTTAATAAAAATTTACAGAGTTATCATCAATATTTTTTTACTAAAAATAATTGATCACTTAAAATATCATTTAAAAAAAAAAGCCTTAAAATTAATTAAGATTTTTACAAAATCAGGATTGCGTTCAAAAAGTATAGTAATGAGTAACAAAAGTATAAGTACCCTCACATCACCCTTTCAAAAAATAATACCAATTAAACATGTATTATCTATTTATTTTGATAATATGGTCTTCTTGATATTTAAAATTAATTCCTTAAAATTTTATTTATGAAAAACATTTTTATTAAGAAATTATTGTTATTTTCATATTTTATAAATTCTTCAATATTTTGTCGAAATTTATAGAAAACATTTTTATTAAAAAATTAGAAAAAATTGACCATTTATAGAATTTCTGAAATTTTGTCATAAGATATTTTTTATTTACGAATCACATATGTGATTTACACAATTATAAAACAATTATGAAAAATATTTTATTTATTATTTTTTAATTATAATAATTTTTATAAAAATGATTTTAAAACTATCACAATGCTTTGGCAAAATCTAAAAAACCATTTCTCTTAATAATAATTAAGAAAAATAAGAGACTTCTAAGTTTTCTTAAAATAATTACTCAAGATATTTAATTGAATTAAACATTTAATGAATTTTTTATTATTTTGTTATTAATTATATTTTATCATTTTTCATCATTGTACTCATTTAATTTTTTATTATTGATTAAACTTTTATTAAGTAAAAATAATTTTTAGATCATCTCAACTCTTTGGTGAAATTTAAAAATATTTTTACTTATAATAATTAAAGAAAACAAAACTTTTTCAATTTTCTTTAAGAAAATTACATCTTAAAAGATTTATTCAAATAATCAATTATTTATTTTATTTATTATATTTAAATTTGTACTCTTTAACAAAAATAATTTCTTGAATAATCCCAACACTAAAGCAAAATTCAAGAGATACTTTTACTTGTATAAATTAAAGAAAAATAAAACTATTTCCATTTTCCTTAATTCTTTTATAATTTAATCAATTTTCATTTCTTATAATTTTAGTAAAAATTACTATTGGTTTTGATTTTATATTTTATTATTACTTATAATAATCATTTTATCTTATTATTATTTTTTTAGAATTTTCAAATATAAAAATAAATAAAAGAAATCTTAAAAAAATAAAAATGAAATAAGAAAATGGAAAAAGAAAAAACTTACAAATGGATTGGGTCTTATGTGGGTCTACATATGGATCTTTGGCGGGTCGTGCATGGGTCTGACAAACAAAACAACATCGTTTTGGCCATCTTATAGAAATGGCTAAATCTTTTTTTTTTTAATTTTTCCTTTCTCTCTCTTTTCCCCTAAAAGCCTATCACTCTAAAATTGAAACCCTTCACTGGAAATCGCCCAAACTTAGTTTTCGTGTGGCTACCACCTTGTCATCACTGTGCTATCATCGGGAACTTCAGCTAGCATCAAAAACTCAAAGTTTTCCTAATTTTCAATCGATTTCTTAGATTTCAATAGTCAAAAAATTCATATGATTGCAAAAAATTCAAACTATTCTAGATTTTAGCAAGCCCAAAAAATTTCAAAAAAATCCCAAAATACTCCATTTGATCTTCTAAACACTTTTCTCAAGCTAGTTTTTCAAGGAAAAATCCTAAAGGCCTAGATCAAAAATTTTATTCTTGGCTTGATTTTTTTTATTACTAACTTTTTTTTTAACTTACTATGGATGTTCCTTTAAGGGATGTGATAGCTTTTTTTGGTTAGTTTTTTTTTTTATTATTTTGTGTACTGAGTTTCTAGTAGGTTTCGGGCAAAATGGCAGTAGGATTTTTTTTGTAAAATTTCTCACATCTGTCATAAATTCAATTTTTATGTTTTTCTCTTTCTCTTTCTCTTTCTTTTTTTTTCTCTCTCTCTCTCTCTCTATCTCTTTGTGTTGTTTTCTTTTTATCTTTTGTTTTGTGAATTTGACTCTCCGTTTATAGAGAGCCAATTTGTCCAACAAATCTCAGGTTTGAACGGATTATGGAAGAATAATTCAGCATAGATTTTTGCTGCTGAAATCTCATCTTGCAAAGTCAAGAAAAAGGGCTAGAATTTGGAACAAGTAATGCATCAATTTTTAAGGAAAAAAATTTCTAGCAGCTTGATTTTAGCTACTAGAGTTTGAAAAAATTTTGACTTTTCTTCTTTTTTTAACCTTTTTTTAAAATGATTAATCAATAAATAATAATAATAATAATTAGTCCTAATAAACATGATCAAAATATCTGAATAAGTTTTAATTGAACACATCAAAATGGTGAATGAGATTCGAATCTATTTCGATCAATTCAAAAAAAATTAGGTGTCTATAGCAGCTCCTCTTTGCACATTATTGAGAATCAGTAATAGGGCAAACACTAAAAGACAACAATTTTGTGTGGATGAACATATCAAAAAATCAAAATAACGACACAAACACGTATATCTCCCTTTTGTTTTTTTTTTTGTTTTTTAAATATTCTTAGCAAAAATAATTACTTAAATTATCCCTACTCTCAGGTGAAATTTAGGAAATATTCTTTACTTGTAAAAATTAAGGAAAAATAGAACTCTTTTAATTTTTCTTAACTATTTTTTGAGGGTTTTATTGCTTTTATTAAATTTTACTAAATCTAACAAGAGGCAATTAAACTTTAAAAAGCTTATCTATCTAGAGGCTATGATACTATGAAAACTTTTTTAACCAGAGTCTATGACACTTTAAAAACTCCTTCAATAAGAAGTAATGAGACTTTAAATAATTCTTCTAACCAGAGGCTACGATACTTGAGAACTCCTCTCACCAGAGGTAATGATACTTGAAATTAAAATTCTGAAAGGTTTTATAGATCATGCCCTTTGGTGTACAAATCATGCATAATTTTGAAAGTCATCTACCTAGAAGTTTTTAAATTTTAAAAACTCCTTTAACCAGAGGCTATAATATTTTTAAAAATTCCTCTAACTAGAAGTTATGATACTTTAAAAAAACTCCTCTAACCAAAGGCTAGGATACTTGAATAAACTCCTCTAACTAAAGGCTATAAAACTTTAAAAGATTCAAAGGTTTTATAGATTATGCATGTTGTTCATACAAATCATGCCTAGTTTTGAAAGAGTCATATATTTGAGGCCCTTAAATTTTAAAAATTCCTCTAACCAGAGGCTACGATATTTGAAAACTCCTCTGACCAAAGGCAATGAGACTTTGAAGATTCCTTTAATCAAAGGTGATGATTTTGAAGGATTCCTCTAACTAAAGGTAGTGAGAATTGAAACATTCCTCTATAGAGATTCAAATATCGCCATCGAGGAAATGTAAAATGACTTAAATATCACCACCAAAGGATTATCTGATATCACCATAGAGAAAGTCTTAATAAATGTTCAATCTTGAATATTCAGATATCACCATTGAGAAAGTTTTAATGAAATTCAATCTTGAATACTTAGATATCACCATAAAAGGTTATGGTACTTTACGAACTCTTCTAACTAAAGGCTATGGTACTTTACTATGCTTTTAACTAGAGGCAATGAAACTTTAAAAACTCTTCTCACTAAATGCTATGAAACTTTTTAAAAACTCTTCTAACCAAACTACAAAACTTTTTTATAAACTCCTCTAACCAAAAGCTATGGTACTTTTGAAAAAAAATTTGAAAATTGTACCCATAAATTTTTAAAATCATCTTCAGAGGTCTTATAAATCACGTTCAAAGGCCTTTGAAATTATACTTAAAGGACTTTGTAATTATGCTCAGAAGACTTTGTAATTATGTCTGGAGGACTTTAAAATTATACTTGAAGGTCTTTACAAGTATGCGTGGAAGTCTTTATAATTATGCCCGGAGGACTTTAAAATTATGTTTGGAGGAGTTAGAAATTATATCTAGAGGACTTTGAAATTATGTGCTAAGGTTTTAGAAAATGACATTGAAGGTTTTCAAAATTGGTACTTAGAAGCTTTAATGACAATACCTTGAGATAAAGCCTCATTTGATCTCTAACAAAATTTTATCTTAGAAAAGTTTTTTTTTTTTCAATTAAAACCTTAAGCCTAGATTTTTTTT